CCCCCCCCCCCCCCCCCCCCGCCCCCATAGCCTGTTCTCTCGATGCTGTGCCCTGCATAGCCCTCGGGACATATGGGGCTGACCTTTCTGGGTGAGATGGCCTTCAAGGTCTCCTTATTCTTAGTCTGCCCTCCTTCCCTCAGCTGGGTCCCCAACCCCGGCCATAGATACAACAAGCTTAGGTCTCTTCCAAGCCTTTGGTCCTTCTGCCCCTTCAGCTAGGTCAGCTTTCTCCACAAAGCCTTCCCGAATCTTCACTGGGTTCCAGTCTGATCTCTGGCAGCTGTGTGCCTTTGGGCAAGTTGCTTTACCTCTCTGAGATAGAGCTTCATCTCTCCACGGTAAAATGAAGATAATTGTGAGTGATGAGGTTTTGGAGTGATGGGGGGGTTCGGAGCTGACGGCCAAGAAAGAATTCTTGAAGACGTCTTCGGTGCAAAAAAAAAAGTGATTTTCTTAAAGCACGGGGACGGGACCCGTGGGCAGGAAGAGCTGCACCGGGGTTGTGAAGGGTTACTGGTTTATGCTATGGGGGGGAGCATAAGTCAAGATGGGGGGAGGTAAAGTCAAGATGAAGTTTCTCTCTTTTTAAAATTTATTTACTCTTCCTTTATTTTTGAGAGAGAGACAGAATGTGAGCAGCGGAGGAGCAGAGACAGAGGGAAACACAGAGTCCGAAGCAGGCTCCAGGCTTCGAGCTGTCAGCACAGAGCCCAATGCGGGGCTCGAACTCACAAGCTGTGAGATCGTGACCTGAGCTGAAGTTGGATGTTCAACTGACTGAGCCGCCCAGGGGCCCCTAAGATTACCTTTTTCTTGTAATTTACTCAGATATTTGTCAACTGACGGAGACTCATGTCCTGCATGACTGTGACCTGTATCAGCTAGCCGTTTGTCTTCTGTCCTTTCCTTTGACCTTGGGCAGGAAGCAGTACCTGAGGAATATCCCACCTGGGGCGGGTGTGTGTGTCCGCGTGTGTACAGGTGCACACGCGCGTGTGTGCGTGCGTGCGCGTGCCCTAGCTTGTACTTTGCCCTCAGCTTGAGGGCCTGATGTGTCTGGTGCAAATATCATGAAGTTGGTTTGAGAAATTATTTTATTTTATTTTTGAACTTTTTTTAACATTTAGTTTTGGGATAGAGCGAGAACGGGGGACGGGCAGAGAGAGAGAGAAGGAGACAGAGGACCTAGAGTGGGCTCTACGCTGACAGCACAGAGCCCCACATGGGGCTCGAACCCACGAACTGTGAGATCATGACCTGAGCTGAAGTCGGACGCTTAACCGACCGAGCCACCCAGGCGCCCTGGTTTAAGAAATTATTTTAAGACACGATTTTTTTATTTTTTTAAATGTCAGTACTTTTTTTTTTTTTTTTAATGTTTATTTATTTTGAGAGACAGAGAGAGAGCCCATGTGTGCTCTGGGAAGGGGCAGAGAGAGACAGAGAGAGAGAGAATCCTAAGCAGGCTCTGTGCCGTCAGCACAGAGCCCGATGTGAAGCTCCATCCCACAAACCATGAGATCGTGACCTGAGCCAAAGTCAAGAGTCAGACTTTTAATCAACTGAGCCACCCAGGCAGCTGAAGGACTTTTTTTTTAAGTTTATTTATTTTGAGAGACAGAGAGAGAGCGTGAGTGGAAGAGAGGCAGAGAGGGAGAGAGAGACTCCCAAGCTCAATCGGCTTAACCGATTGAGCCGCCCAGGTGCCCCCAGGCTGCCATTTTGGAAACCACATGATTCTAACTAACAAGTGGAGGAGGTCAAGTGGAGCCTGGGAGCTGAGGGGCCTAGGAGTACGTTATAGTCACTCAAGGAATGATGAGCAACTGGTCTCTGCTCTAAATTATGTGAAGGACAAGGAAAAGTACTGGAACTGACCCAGGCTCTGCCCCAGGCACGGTGCTTGGGATTGCACACTGCTGAAGGTATTGTATCCAAGGAAACCAGGAATACCTGAATCCTGGCCCAGGGCACAGCTGTCCCTAGCCACAGGATTCTCAAGTGCATGACTCCGAATCCCATAAACAACAGCCTGTGCCAGGGGAAGCATAAGGGAGAGAGAGCAATCAAGAAAGCAAGTTCAGGGGCGCCTGGGTGGCTCAGTTCGTTGAGCATCCGACTCTTGATTTCAGCTCAGGTCATGATCTCACGGTTCCTGAGATCGAGCCCTGGGTTAGGCTCTGTGCTGACAGCATGGAGCCTGCTTGGGATATTCTGTCTGTCTGTCTCTCTCTCTCAGAAATAAACAAGCTTAAACTTTATATATAGATGGGTGTTCACAATGCTGGGAAGAAAGACCAATGAGACGGTCAAAAGCAGAGGCACTGCCCTTTTTGGCCACTGGTCAGGGGGCTGAAGGGTCACAGCAGAATGGACCCCCAGGTAAGTGAAATGACTATCAGCTGCCTGAGGGCAGGACTGTTCCAAAGAGATGTGTTTTCTCCTGGCCCCAGGTAGTACAGTTGATGGCTCTGGGCCCTTGAGGACTTACAGGATCGGCTTACTGATGGAGGCAAAGTAGCTGCTCTTTTCGGGAGCTTGTCATGGGAACCGAGTGCTAAGGGCTTTGTAGGGCCTGTTTCATCCTCACTATAAGCCACGGGTAGGTACTGTCCTCCCAAAATGTGGAAGTGAGGACAGAAGGGAACCAGACCAAACTGAGACACTGAGAAAGGAGGGGGAAGAAACTGAGAATCTGAAGAACAGGCCTGGGCTATGTAGGGTGGGAGCCAAGACAAAGGAGAATGGAACAGAGGGACACAGAGAGACGTATCAGGAACCGTCTCCTCCAAAAAAAAAAAAAAAAAAAAAAAAAAAGGCCTCAAGGGTCCAAACAAGCAGCTTTATCCTGCACACCTGTGGTCTCCAAACTCTTCTGCTCACGAACCCCGTCAGTGGACAATACGGATGCGTTGATCTACGAATTATGCACAGAAATAGAAATTACAAAGTGGATGACATAACTATATAACTGGAAGCTCTAATATTTCCTTTCTATACCCCGGTGGGTGGTCTTGCCCACAATTTTAAAGTTTTAATCAGAAAGGCAGGGAGTTAAGTCGGTTACGTGTTGGACTTTGCCTCAGGGCATGATCTCCTGGTTTGTGAGTTCGAGCCCCACGTCGGGCTCCATGCTGACCGTGCAGAGGAGCCTGCCTGGGATTCTCACTCCCTCCTCTCTCTCTCTGCCCCTCCCCCTCTCGCACTTCCTCTCTCCCTCTCAAAATTAGTAAACCTAAAAAAAGGAGTTAATGTTGATAAATAACGCTGGCCGCTATTTGCTGGGGGGCTACCGCGTACCAGGTAAATGCTGGGTTATGAGGACGCTAGGTGCCTGCCCCAGGTCAGACACCCTCCTAGCTGAGGCTGTCCGGGGTTGCAGTAGAGGGTGCTCGGCAGGCCCAGGGGTGAGCCTGTCCTGATGTCCCTCTGTCTGTGTCTGCCTCCAGGTGCCATGCCTCTGCAAGTCCTCCTGCTTCTGATTTTGCTGGGCTCTGACAGCAGCCTGCAGCTGCGGGAGACATGGGAGAATGGAACCATTGAGGCCCCGGACCCCCTGCTTGTGCAGGGCCAGAAACAAGTGGAGGAGGACCCAGAACAGGACATGTATGACTATATTGGCACGGACCCTCCAGAAACGCTTTTTACAAATAGACCTGGGCCTGTGTCCCTGACCTGGACATTTCTAGCTGAGATGGCAACATTGGGGCAGAAGGATTCTGGAACTCCTGAACAAGCCACTCTGGTGATAGCCAGAGGGGACTCCGTTGGCCTGGACTCAAGAGGGATGGCCATGGGGAATCTGAGCACGGAAGTGGCCACGCAGGGGGTTCCCGTCACGCTGGGCCCTCTGAGCAAAGAACAGGTCACTGTGTTACTTCCCATCACAGAGGCTTCATCCACAGAGGGGGCTCCATCCACAGAGCTCGCCACCATTGAGGCCCTGTCTGCGGAGCCGGCAGCCACAGAGGCCCTGACCACACAACCTGCGGCCACAGAGGCCCCGTCCACGGGGCCGGCAGCCACAGAGGCCCTGACCACACAACCTGCGGCCACAGAGGCCCCGTCCACGGGGCCGGCAGCCACAGAGGCCCTGACCACACAACCTGCGGCCACAGAGGCCCCATCCACGGGGCCGGCAGCCACAGAGGCACAGACCACACAAACTGCGGCCACAGAGGCCCCGTCCACGGGACCAGAAGCCACGGATGCCCTGTCCACATCCATGGAGCCCACTGCCACAGAGGCCCCGTCCACAGATCCCGCCACCACGAAGGTCCCATCCACAGGTCCTGCGACCACAGGGAGCCTAACCATGGCCCTGCTTGTGCCCTCTGATCCTCACAACAGCACCACCGTGGCGGTAGGCAATTCATCTGATGGCTTCATCAAACAATGGAAAAATAATCAGAATCTTGCCCCCCAGAGCTCCGTGGCCCCCAGCCCCACAGAGGCTCTGGACCGCATCCCTGTGAAGCAGTGCCTGCTGGCCATCCTCGTCCTGGCCCTGGTGGCCACTATCTTCCTCGTGTGCACGGTGGTGCTGGCTGTCCGCCTCTCTCGCAAGAATCACATGTACCCTGTGCGCAATTATTCCCCCACTGAGATGGTCTGCATCTCGTCCCTGCTGCCTGAGGGGGGCGAAGCGCCCTCGGCCACGGCCAACGGGGACCTGCCCAATGCCAAGAGCCAGGGCCTAAAGGCGGGGCCGAGGGAGGGCCGAGATGGGGATGACCTCACCTTGCAGAGTTTCCTCCCTTAACCCCCACCCCTCACCCGCTCATCCATCTGAACAGGACCCTCGCCTCCCTGCTCCCTCCAAGGCCCGCTGGGCCACCACTGAGCACCCCGGCTCTGTTCCACGGGTCCGGGCTTCCTTGGGGCCCCTAGGGATGGGGATCTCTAGGACAGAGCCCCCAGGTGCCCCACAGGAAGGAGAGCAGCTGAACTCTTGCAGCCAAAGCAGGACTGTGGGCAAGCCACCGCACCCTCCCTCCTGCCTCCGGGGGGGCCCGGGGAGATCCCTCCACCTCCCTGTCTCCCACCTGTCTGGGCTCCCTCTGAGGCCTTCCACGGCTGGAGCCTCATCCCCAAGCACCCGGTGAAGCCCCCGCCCTCACGCCCATTTTCTTCTGGTTGCCATGGTCACCACACAGGAAAGGGGGCATTTTGGGGGCGGGAGTGCTGGATTCTGAAGGCCATTCCCTGCCCCTCTCCGACTTGGGGCAGCTTGGGTTTTCTTGGGCATCTCCCCAGGGAGCCCAGGGTGAGATCCTGGCCCGGGAGGGCTGGGACGGGCTTGGAGAGCCCAGGGCCATACCTTTCTTTGGGGCTGTGTGGGTCATTGTTCACTGAAATGTCCCACTCCCCAGCCCACGGCCCGGGACAGCGCAGGTGCTCAATAAATATTCGATGAACTAACGGTGGCTGTTTCAGGGCGTCAAGGTGTCTCCTGCTGGGGCTTTGGTCCCTTGCTGTTCACCCCGGCCCCCGGCCCGCTCCAGAAACCCCCCCAACCCCCCGGTCTGTGCCTTAAGTTTTCAGTATTGTCTCTTGGACACCGGGGGCATCTTGGTACATCCTTGGGCAGCCGGGAAGGTTGTAGGCCGTTGGGGGGATGGGGAAACTGGTCCCCGAATCCACTTTATTCAACTCCACCCCCCCCCCCATGACCCAGTTCTGGCATACAGAATTTGGTTCCCGCCCCGACTCTCAGACAAACGCGTCCTCTCAACGTCAGTGCCATCCTCCCCAGAAACTCACCCTGACCTCTCCCGGGGAGGGGGGGGGGTGGCCTGTCTCCCATTTAACACCCGCTCCTCACAGGGCTGAGCACAGCTGCGGCCTACGAGGTTTTCGAACAAAATTTGGGGCCAGCAAACTTTCTTCTTCAATGGCCAGACCAAAAATATGTGACGTTTTGCAGACCGCGCGGTCCCCGTTGCAACTCGTCAGTTCCATCCTTGGTCCTCGTAGATTGTGTGTGGTCGTTGACGATGTGTCACAAATGAATAGGGTTGGCTGCGTTCTAATAAAACTTTATTTACAAACAAAGCGGCAGGCTGGATTTGGCTCTGTGTTCGCTGACCCCTGATCTGAGCATCGGGTGAGCAGCTGGCCCGGTTTGCGTGGGACTTTGGTGAATGTAGCACCGGGAGCCCTATGTTGGGGGAAACTGCTCAGCCCCAGCAAATCAAGGAGTTGGCTGCCCTATTTAAGCAACACTCACTGTGTGCGTGCGTTACCACATTCGGACCCACGCTGACCCCGAGGGTCGGATCAGAAAGCCAAGGCTCCCACAGTGGCTTCAACAGTAGCTGAGCCCGGGGGCGCCTGGGGGAGCTCAGTCGGTTAAACGTCGGACTTCGGATCTGGTCGTGATCCCACAGTTCATGAGCTCGAGCCCCGCGTCGGGCTCTGTGCTGACAGCTCGGAGCCCGGAGCCTGCTTCGGATTCTGTGTCTCCCTCTCTCTCTGCCCCTCCTCTGCTTGTGCGCTCTCTCTCTCTCTCAAAAACAAAACAAAAACAAACAAAAAACCCCCCAAACCAGTGGCTGAGCCAGGATTCAGACCTGGGTTCTTCTGTCTCTTGATGCTTTTTGATCAGAAGGGACTCCTGCTTTGAGCCCCTGTTCTACCTTCTGGCGGAGGACTACAACTCGTTTTGGTGGACTTTTTCTCTTCTAGAAAAATACCTCCGGCGGCTTCTTTGGGAGTGCCGGACCCTTCAGGGTGAGAGAGAGTTCAAAGACAGGGTGGAGTCTGGGGGGTATTGGCTGAAGCTGGAAAGGGGGTGGGAGAGACCAGGGACAGACAGGAGGGAAGGTGGCGGGCCAGGGGCAGTGGGGGCAGAGTTAGTGAGAAGTGGAGGGCTGTCTGCCCCGCCCCCTGACGCTCTAGAACAAGTGTGACACCCAAGGTGTTCCGGGCACTTTGGTGGGGGAGGGGTGCCCACCCTGGGCCGGGGCAGCTCACCCTGGAAAAGGCAGAATTGTGCGTTAGGGGAATCGTGGGTTTACTTGCCCTTTGGGAGCGATGAGAAAAATCATGTGGGGGACTCGATATCGTGGAGCTGGGGACACAGAGGCTGAAGGACTTGGGGGGCAAGCGTCCCTCTGGGGTCTTGTCACCCTGTCCTCCTGGGTGGGGAGCGGGTCTCCCCGCCCCCCCCCCCGCCCCCACTGGAGGACACCGTGACCGCAGAGGGCTCCCCTTGGCGGCTCGCTGGCTCTCTCCAAGGCGCAGAATTGAAGTCTGGGGATGACAGGTGCTTGAAGCAGCCACCAGGCGGCACCCGCCACCGGCTCTTGGAGCTCTTGAAAGCCGGGAGCTTCCCAGAGGACAAAGGAGCAGCAGGGATTGCTGGGCCAGGAGCGCTGCGAACCCGAACCCGGGAGGGTGCTGGTGAGTGTTTAACCTCCAGCCCCTTGGGTGGATTTGTATCCCAGCCACGATTTGCGATGCTTGCCAATTTCCTTGGTGTAAATACCCCCTTGGCTGATTTGGAGCAACCAACTATGTATATAGTAAATGGTACAATAAATGCAAATAATCTCAAGAACATAGAAGAGTAGAATGTAGTAAAATAATTAGGAAGTGGTGAGGTTTGAGTACCGGAGGACCTTGGGTTTTTGTTGTGTTTCGTGTTCATTTATTTTTGAGTCAGAACGGGAAGGGGCAGAGAGAGAGGGAGATGGAGAAGCCCAAGCAGGCTCGCACTGTCAGCACAGAGCCCGATGCGGGGCTAGAACTCACACACTGTGAGACCGTGAGCGGAGCCAAAATCAAGATTCGGACACTTAACCGACTGAGCCACCCAGGCGCCCCGGACCTTGGTTTTTTATAATTTAACTTATTAAACAACTGGCTTACAAAATTCTGAAACTCTAACAGTTGGCCCTCGGAGACTGCTCTAGGCTGGCTCCTACGTCCCACTGTGCCCTCCTCCTGCCCGGACCTCCCCTTGGCCTTGAACATCACCACCTGAATCACCCCAACCATCTATTCAGCAAATATATTCTGAGCAGAGAACATCTGCAGTATCTCCATGAGTCCCCTCAAACAGCCTGGGAAGGAGGAACTCGTATTCTCATTTTACAGAAGAGGAAACTGAGGCTCAGACAGGCGAAGTCACCTGTCTCAGGCCACCCATAGGATCTGGGACCGGAACGCAAGCCTGAATCCGAAAGCCACGTTCCTACCACAGTGCTATGTTATTCTTGAGGTCGCGGTGGGGTTCTGGGGGAATGCCATGCCCCGAGCTCTCACCCCTGCTGACCTGTCCTGGTGCCTGGAAGTCCCCATCAGTCACCCTTGTGGCTCCTGGCTGCCGAGGGAAGGCGCTGGTACTTGGGAGGGTGACAAGCCCGAAGCCAGCTCTCTCCTTGCAGACGGCAGGACTAGCCATGCCGGGGTCTAAGACAAAGAGAGGTGGCCGGGGACATCGACTGGGCAGTCAGTGCACGTGCAACCCCATGCAAACACGTCACCTGCATGACCTACCAGACCTCACAACCACCCCATGATGTGGGTACAATTATTATCCCATTTTACTGCTGGGGAAACTAAGGCTCAGAAAGCTGGATCACTTGCTCCGGCAGGTTGCTCTGCTAAGAAAGCAGACTGTACTGACTTCGGCTCTGGCAGTGGGGAAGGAAGGAGGGTAGACAGGAAATCAGGAAATGGGGGCGGGGGGTCAGCCTTGCGGTGGTTCTTCTGGAAGCTGATCTGGGCAGAGGCTCGTCAAGCTTGCCCTCCATATCCCTCCCCATGTGCCGCTCTGCCGAGCCACATAACTCGAATGTCAGGGTATGTCCACTCTGTGCTATGTCCCCGGGATGCCATGTGGTTAAGACAAAGGATGCCCACCGGGGCTCATGGCCTGGAGGGAGTAAGAGATCTGTCAAATGGTCGCCCAGAAAACGATAACATTGTGGCTGGGCCCGGAGCCCAAAGGTGGGGGTGGGGGCGGGGGCGGGGCTGCTGGGCATGTGCGATGTAGCCAGACTTTGGGGGTGGGGTGGAAAGGAGTCAGGAAATGGTATGAAGCTGGAAAGGTGCAGAGTTGTGCAGGGTGGGTGCAGGGAGGAGAATGTGTCCGGCCACTGAGGACAGGGTGGGGACGTTGGGAGAATGGACGAGGCCGGGGTGGTGGGAAGGAGGCAGAATGGCTTCAGGGAGGAGGGCGAGGCTGTGCGAGGATGGGGGGGGGGGCGGGGCCGGAGAAGGGGTGCGAGAAGGTGAGGAATCGAGGGATAACTGGGAAGGAGGAAGGGGAGGAGTCGGTGATGGATTGGCAGGAGGAGGAGGAGAGGGAAGGAAGTGAAATCTCGTTTGCGACTTGGGTATCATCCATGGAAGAAGCAGGTCGGGCGGTGGGTTGGGCTTCCGCCACATGGCGTCTGCAGGGTCTGGTCAACCTCCAGGCGGAGGTGTCCAGAAGGCTCCTGGAAAACAGGCTCAACGTCACTGACCATCGGGGAAATGCAAACGAAAGCCGCCCGAGATGTCACTTTGTGCCACCGGAAGGACTAAAACTGAAGACCGACAATACCAAGTGCTGACGAGGACGCAGAGAAGCCAGAACGCTCCCGCGCTGCTCCCGCAGATGCACCAGGGCACAGCCGCTTTGCACAGCGGTGTGGCGGTTTCTCACAACGTTGGACACATATTCACCATTTGGCATATTTGCACCAGGTGGTGCATCCAGGCAACTTTGCAATCCCTTTCCTAGGTATTCCTGCAAGAGAATGAAGCCATCTGTGCCTACAAAGACCTGTAGATAACACTATTCGCAGCTTTATTATTAATAGCCCCAAGGCTGGAAACAATCCAAAGATCCACCTTCTGGTGAATGGTTATGTGGATGATAGGACACCACTCAGACTAAAAGGGCGCAGACGGTTGATCGATGCACAACGTGGATGAATCTCAAACACACGCGGGGCTAAAGGGGCCAGACGCAAAGGGCTGTTTGTCTATTTCGCGGCTTCAACAACAGGCAGGGCGAGAACAGGCCAAACTGAGCTATGGCGGTGGAAATCAGATCGGTGGTTACCCTTGCCGGGGAGGAGGAGGCTGGAAGGAGCTGGAAGGAGGGGCTGGAAGGAGCCTTCCAGGATGATGGGAACATGCCTCATCTTGGACTGCGTGGTGGTCACACGAGATTGTCACTTCCCGGAGCCCCCCCTCCCCCCAACTGTTCTCGCCTGACTGGTGCATTTCACAGTGTGGAAAGTGCGTCTCGAGTGCAAGCCAACGAACGAGCGGGCAGGTGCGTTCGTGAGTCCGGCTTGGCACGCCTGCGGGTCCACTCGGGTGAAGGAGCGTGCGTGAGGGTCGAGGGCTTGGAAACCTGGCCCCGGGAGGCGGGAGGAGGCCACAGCTCCTGGGGCTGTCCCACCCATGTCCTGCGTAGATGCAACCCTTCTTTCCTTCAGTGGCTGCTCCTGTGCCCAGACACCATCCATGACTCCCTAGTACCCAAGTACAAAAAACGTGTCCAGTCTTGTCACTTGCTGGGCATTGACCTAAATGCGTCGTGGTCTGGACGGACTGGACTCCTCACTCCTCACACATGCTTCCTGCCTCTGATGGATGAGGCATCCATCACCCCCTTCCACTGCCTCTCTCTGAGGTCAGCTCCCCCAGGCCCGAGCCCTTTCAGAGCTCCGAGCGGATCCAGCCATGCCTCTGGTCTCCCTGTTGGCTCGTTCCTCCTCTTTCTGGTTCTTTGCCCCGAGCCTGGCTGACCAACAGATAACTCCAGTGTGTTCTCCTCCACTCTGGGCCTTGACCTCTCCATCTGTAAATGGGTGTCCGTGTGTCTGCTCATGCCACCGTCATGCCATTCCACTGTTCACTCACCTGTTCCTTCCACTCGGGTGAGCCGCCCGAGGCAGGGTTTTGTGCATCTGTTAACCTTAACAATGGCACTAAAAGCTCACCCCTGTGTGCCAGTCAGGAGTTTACTCTGTGCTAAATTGGTCGCCTGTGTTTTCTCATTTCATCCTCGCCTTGTGAGACGGGTCCTCTTTGTAACTCCATTTTACAGA